CAGATGAATGGATCAAGAAGATGTGGTCCATATATACAATGGACTATTACTCAGCCATCAGAAAGGATGAATACCCAAATTTTACATCAACATGGATAGGACTGGAGATTATGCTAAGTGAAATAAGTCAAGCAGAGAAAGTCAATTATCATATGGTTTCACTTATTTGTGGAATATAAGGAATAGCACAGAGGACAACAGGAGAAGGAAGGGAAAAATGAAGGGGGGGAAATCAGAGGGGGAGATGAACCATGAGAGACTATGGACTCTGAGAAACAAACTGAGGGTTTTAGAGGGGAGGGGAGTGAGGGGATAGGTTAGCCTGCTGATGGGTATTAAGGAGGGTACATATTGCATGGAGCACTGGGTGTTATACGCAAACAATGAATCATGGAACACTACATCAAAAATTAATGATGTACTGTATGGTGACTAACATAGTAAAACAAACAAACAAAAACCCCAATCCTATACATAGTGTTATAAACCTAGTTACTGAGCCCCCCAAAATATAAAAATGCTGGAGGGAAACAAAGGATAAGTAGGTAAACATGGTATTGTCTGTATCTGCTTGCTAGCTTCCGGATAGGGGCTGCTCAGTTTGGATGTGGCTTGAGAACTGTTTTGTTATTAGACACCTTGACCTGCAAGGCTTCAGAGACTTGTCAATAAATGTCCTAGCTTTTGGCAAGTCTGAGGTAAAAAGTCATTCTTATCCTTGATGTCCACTGAAGGGGCATATTTTTTTTAAAAAAACCTATATAAACTATAGTTATCTTAAAAACTGTAGTAGATATATTTGTTTTCTGCTCAATCCTTTCTTTGGTCATCCTCTTCTGAAAGGTGGCCATTTATTTTATTTTTTTTTAAAGATTTTATTTATTTATTTGAGAGAGAGGGAGAGTGAGAGGGAGAAGCAGACTCCCTGCTGAGCAGAGAGCCCCATGTGGGACTCGATCCCAGGACTCTGGAATCATGACCTGAGCCGAAGGCAGATGCTTAACCGACTGAGCCACCCAGGCACCTGAAAGGTGGCCATTTTAATTTCAGTGTACTCAAAGCTGTTGGGTCATATATTCACACTGTGCTATTTATAATCTCAAGAATTTGTATCAATACATAAAAAAAATATACCATGAGGTGACACTAGCACTAGCAGATCATATAGTGCTTAGCTGGGACAGCTATGTTAGACTATGTGGGAACAGAAGAACCAACTGATAACAGATGGAGAGAAGCAGAGCTAAAAAATGCTGACCCTGACCTCAGGTACTGACTCTCCAGTTCCAATTCTAGTCCCTATATAGCCTGCTGTGTTACATTTTCTGTTCTTAAGACACCTCATTTTATTTACGTGTGTTTATATTTAGGTTAGGGATGTGTGTGTGTGTGTATGCACCCATTTAAAAAACCTCTTTTGGGTGTTTGTATGCATGTTATGTGAAAAGCCAAATGGCTTAAATTCACATCTCTGTCTTTTCACAGTGGGGCAAGCCTATATCCACCATGTATGTTAGCCAAAGCTGCATGTCTGGTATATCTCTAATAAATTCCACTACTTAAGCTGGCTTGCGTAGGTATGTGTTCCTGACAAAGTACCTAAGAAAAAGAATTAAGCCAGGTTTCCTAACATCACAAAAGTAGATACCTTTGAATTATTATTGGAATAAAATTTTTTTTACATTTACCTATGTCATAGCTCAATTATAAGGAGAAGAAATTTAAATCAACTATAGAATAAAATACAGAAGGCGAGTTTTTTGTTTTTTATCAGTTATAAGATTTTCACTCTGGTTTTGCCATTGACAAACTGTATGACCGTGAACAATTCAGCTGGGATTGAGAACCCTTGGCTTAAATTATTCCCCATTTAGTTTGCCAGTCTGCCTATGTAACTAATGGCTTGCTAGATGTTTAATTACTAAAAGCAAAATAAGTAATAAGCTCATAATCTACAGAGGAAATACAAAAGGAATTATTTAGATTTTATTTATTTGACAGAGAGTGAGACAACAGCAGAGGGAGAGGGAGAAGCAGACTCCCCGCTGAGCACAGAGCCTGAAGTGAGACTTGATCCCATGACCCTGGGATCATGACCTGAGCCAAAAGCAGATGCCCCCAAAAGGAATTATTTAAACATAATTTTGATCAAGAATGAAACATGGCCTTGGAATTCTTAACAGCAAAGGAAGAAAACCCTGAGTCTAATTAGAAATATCTCTTTATATGAAAAGATCTCAGAAAGTTCAAAGTTAGGTATGATCTCATGGACAAAACCTCTGAGTGGGAATACAGCACAAGGAGAGTTGCAGGTTCTAAGGAAATGAAGTTCTGATTATGTAATCACAAATAATCCTAATGAGATGAGAAAGCAATTAGAGAAACTAATTTCTTTGGGAAGCTCAGATTTTTAAAAGAACATGTACAGAAGAAAAAAAGACCAATTATGAATACAAAATCTTGATGTGAACATATAAGAAAAGTCTCACAAAGGTTCAAGCCTACTAAGAACTGAGGTTCCCCAAAATTCTAATAAAACAGCAACAAAAACTTTAAAGCTATGTTTGGACAAGTAGACAATTTGTTGGGGGAAAGAAAGCACAAGGCTGATAACAGAAAGAAGAGCTCAAAAACAATTGTGTCTTCATCTTTTCCATCCATAAGTACTGCCCTCAAGTTGGAAAGACCAGACAAAAATTAAAAGAAGAAATTAAAGTCTGTGATAATTTAAAAGGAGTCCTACAAAGCTAATTTAAACATATTTAAGATTCTAGGCCCAAACAAATCATATCTCAAGGTCTTGAAAAAATTTCAAATATGAATGAAAAATGAGAAAATGCTGCCCTGATTTTTTAAAAATAGGTAAAAAGGGAACATTCCAGAAAGCAAAGAATGATTAGTTTAATATTCATCTCTAAACACTTCTAGAAGAGAGAATCAAGGATGTGACTTTTTTTTTTTTTTAAGATTTTATTTATTTATTTGAGAGAGAGAGAATGAGAGCAAGCACATGAGAGGGGGGAGGGTCAGAGGGAGAAGCAGACTCCCTGCCGAGCAGGGAGCCTGATGCGGGACTCGATCCAGGGACTCCAGGATCATGACCTGAGCCGAAAGCAGTCGCTTAACCAACTGAGCCACCCAGGCGCCCCCAAGGATATGACTTTTAAGTACTCAGAATTTGAAAAGCCAACTTGGACTAGGTAAGAAAAGTACAAATTAAATTAATTTTCCTTTTTGACAAGGTTTGATAATGTCTGGCAATGATACAGAATGCTACTGCAGTGAATCTTGATAGCCTTGTCAGTAAGATAGAGAAATGTAGGTGGAATAGTGGTAGAGGTAAGTAAATTCACAGTTGGTCCAACAGTTCTTTCTGAAGAGTAATGAAGGAGCAGTGGGCCAGAAAGGTTTTATCTTTGGTCCTGTCTTATCCAATATTGTTTTCATGACTATAACAAAGACTAGAAACTCATTTAATAAATTTGTAGAAGAAAAGCTAGAAGGGAAAGACAATATAAAAGGTGATTCAAAATTCAAAAGGATCCTGATAAGCTAGGAAAATGAACTTAAAACCAAAAAGAGACACTTAGGAATAAACCAACTCCTGCATTTAGATTTAAAATAAAATTTTTAATAAAATAAAATAAGTAGAAGATGGGAGACTGGTGGTAATTTATATGAAAAAGAATCTTATATTTTAGTGATTTAAAGTGATTGAACTTGTTTTTAAAAGGTAATGAAATTTTATGCTATATAGCAGAAGACCAGAATTTCTAGGTTTCTCTAAAAGTATTGTAAAATAAGTTTTATGAGTCTTTTAGACTCAAATTGTAATGACATCTCTAATATTCGCAAATGCAAATCATATGTAAAATAGTGTCAATCTACAACTCTCATAAATCCTAAAACAATAAAGAATTCTACATTGACAATGTTTTTGTCAATTTAATATGAAAGGACAAACAAAATAAGGCAATTAATTTAAAATCTTTCTCTATAAAGACATTTTGTTTTTTGAAATTCTGTTCCTTGGACTAGCACAAAATAGTTTCAGAAACTTCCCTTAAACTAGTTCTTGAAAGTTTTAGTACTGGCATTACCTACTAAAAATAAAGACTATGTGTGAGAGCGTCAGATTTTCTCTTATACAATTTTACTTTATCCTAAGGAATCTTTACTGAAATGCTAAAAGGAGAAAGGAAAGGTCAGAAAAATTTAGCCTATTCTCATAAGCTTTCTGATACTAATTTAGAGCTGTTAAAGTATTTGAAAAGCTGAAATGATACTGAAAGAAATACTGTTTACCCTTTTCCAATACTCTTTTAGAAGAAATAATCCAGGGGCACCTGGCTGGCTCAGTCGGTAGAGCATGTGACTCTTAAGCACAGGGTTGTGAGTTCAAGCTCCACATAGGGTATAGAGATTACTTAAAAATAAAATTAAAAAAAATAAAAAATAAAAATAATCTAGGAAAAGTATTTTTTTAGTTAAAAAATTGCCAACTTGGTAGATTTCAGTATATTAATAATTTACACAAAGAAGTATTTTTTTTTTAAATTATTTATTTGAGAGACAGCACGCAAGTGGAGGGAGGGGCGGAGGGAGAGGAGAGAGAGAATCTCAAGCAGACTCCCTGCTGAGCATAGAGCCCAACACGGGGCTCAATACCACAACCCATGAGATCATGATCTGAGGTGAAATCAAGAGTTGGACACTTAACTGACTGAGCCACCCAGGCACCCCTACACAAAGAAACCTTAAACTAAATTTTATTGAAAGACTTGATTACTAGGGATATTAGCAAATAAACAACTTTTTAAGGGACTCATGAATCTTTATCCTACATAAAATACTAAAATTTACAACTTTTAAAGCTTTTGACGGGAAAAAGTCTTTTTTATATATTCTATCTACTCTTATGTCAAATGATCAGAAAGAGTAAATCTCCTTCTGGGAGTGGAAGTGTTAACAACATAAATAAATTTAACTTATATACATACAGAAATGTACAGTCTTCTGGAAAGGAATCTCCATATGATGTAGAGGGCAATGAACCTGATTTGTTTTCCCATTCATTCTGGGTCACAGATGTATGATCTACATGAAGAAAATACAAACATGAGTAACAGGTACACACCAAGTTCAAAATCATTTACTGTAATATCTAAATAATATCTTTATTGATTAGAGATATATGGAGCCCTTAAATCTGCGAACATAGTAAGATTAAGCCAAATTAAGCCAAAAAATTATGTGTCAATATTTCCAAAAACATTAAGAAAGTAAGAGAGGATAAAGTAAAAGACTTAGGATAGAAGAAACTTCTACTGGAGAAAATCTAGTTTGGCCTGAACTTTATCTGAATTTTAATCAACCTTTAAGGTGAACATTGGGTATCCTTATTTGTGCTTGTATTTTGTAGAAAAATAACAATGATTACAAAGGTCACAAAATGGAAAGTTTATGTATCTTTTGCTTTCTCACTGTTCAACTGCCACCTTCATTTTTGGAGGGTAGGGTATTTGGATACCTCTTTTTATATTTCCATTTGACTTTTCATATTACTTAGTCTATCTTTCTGTGCTTAATTTCATCCCATGTCTTGTCTTTTCTTTTTCTACTTCCTCTATTCTTACTCTCTAACATGACTACAATACAGAAATAAGCTGTGTATTTAATGAGAAAAGTTATGGATTTCCTGTTATTCTGAAAAATGGATATGTGGAATATTCTATGTTTGGTTTAAAGATACACACACACACACTTTTTTTTTCCTTTTTTTTATAGAGAGCATGAGTGCAAGGTGGAGGGGAAGGGGGAGAGGGAGAGAGAGAATCTTAAGCAGACTCAACACCCAGTGTAGAGTCTGACATGGGGCTTGATCTCATGATCCTGAGATCATGACCTGAGCTGAAATCAAGAGTCAGTGACTGAACCACTCAGGCACCCCTAAAGATATATATATTTTTAAGATTTTATTTATTTGACAGAGAGAGATACAGTGAGAGAAGGAACATAAGCAGGGGGAGTGGGAGAGGGAGAAGCAGGCTTCATACTTAGCAGGGAGGCCGATGTGGGGCTTGATCCCAGGATCCCAGGATCATGACCTGAGCCGAAGGCAGATGCTTAACAACTGAGCCACTCAGGCGCCCCTAAAGATATTTTTTTAATGTGTTTTTTCCTATGTACTGATGGACTTTAAGAAAAAAAGTGATTCTCATCCTGCCTTAGTATTAACTTGCATTGGTCCTCTAGTGCAGAAAAAAAGGTGTAGAAAAAAAAGTTTAATAAAATAATAGTTTAAGTTATAATACAAGGCTACTACCTGGCTAATTGGAAAATAATTATCCCTCTTTAATTATCAAGGTAAAGAAAGGTTTAAAAGCTGATAGTTGATAAGAGCTATAATTCCAGATTAAAAATTAAGTTTTACAAATTAAGAATTTCTGATTTTTCCTAGCTAATTTTTTTGTATGAGGCATATAAATCCATACTAACAAATATGAATAAAATAAGTGTATATAAGCATAATTAGAAATAAGACTTACTGAAAAAACAGAGATTTTAAAATTAATCATTAGATAAGGGAGGAAAGGGGAAATAACCCCTCTTAAGAAAACAGTATCCAATCTTTTGTTTGAGGACACAGCACATATTTACAGTTATACACAAGCAAGGAAAATGAAAGTAATTAGTGGTTTGGGCAGTCCAGGTTGGATCTGGGATAGCTTGTTTTGATTTCAACACCAAGTCCTTTTGTTTCTCCTAGTCTCAACATTCTTTTTAAAATCAATACTAACATGAAACTTTATTACTAGGAAGTTTTTAATCCTTTGCATTTCCCAACAATGTCAGTTACAGACCTCCCCAATTACTTAGTTACAAATATTGCTCACCATTGGCAAACATATACTTTTATTTTGATAAATTCATTACATTTCAAATGAACTATATAAAAATACGAAATTGTAATATTCAATATTTCTATTGATGAAATTATTACCAAAAAAACCCAAAACCCAATTTACTTTCTATTACTGAGAAATAAATTAAGGAAAAAAAAAAAACATTTAGAATTAGTTCCTCTTACCACCTCCTGAATTTAAAATTAAAAGCCTCTTTCTTGTAAAACTAGTATAATCTCTTGAGTGTGTTGATTCCAAGTGCTATTGAAAAATACTGAGAAATGCTGTTTTCTTAAAGAATCTACTCTAAAAACTATACATTAGCTACTGAAATTGAGAATACTTTTGATAAACAAAAGGTTTCTTTAAAACAGACTGATGATGGTGGGCTGTATTTTCAGAGATTTAAAACCTTAAGGCTCCAAATATGACACTTAAAATTATTATAATTTGTTAACAATATTTAGCAGTATTAATTAAAATCCAGTAAAGTACTTCCTCAACATTTTAGGAAACTGGAGATAGACTAAGATTTATAGGAGAGTGACTCTGATAAAACAACTTTTTAATTTTTTTCTTCTTAGTTCTGGTACATTATCTTTGATCAATTCCTTCTAAAATGAATTTGTTTACAGTTACAAGACTGATGGTCTAATAATAATCTAGAAATAAAAAACTTTTACACCAACTTATCTATGCCCCAATATACTTTTCTAGTATTGTTTTTCTCACAAAGTGGGTTTGTAGTAGTTTGGAGTCTTAGAATTTCTTGAAGAAGAGATACATTTGTTCATTCTTTCCATAGGAGAGTCAGAAAAATGTGCATTTCCTATCTCTGGATGGGTAGGACTTTTTATTTAATAAGGAAACTCATTTATGTAATTTACCAGTATAGATCTTACATTTTATTTTACATTATCCTTAGGTAATCTGACATACTTAAGTCAATTAAGCCTGCTTCAAGTCAAGAAAATAACAAAATAGGGGGTGCCTGGGTGGCTCAGATGGTTAAGTGTCTGCCTTCGGCTCAGGTCATGATCCCAGGGTCCTGGGATGGAGCCCCACATTGGGCTCCTGGCTCAGCAGGAAGCCCGCTTCTCCCTCTCCCTCTGCCTCTCCCCCTGCTCATGCTCTCTCTCTCTCTGTATCTCTGTGTCCCAAATGAATAAATAAAATCTTAAAAAAAAAAAAAAAAAAAAGAACAGAATATTCAAGATTGGGATTAGAAATGCACATACCCTTTATCAATGTTGAATTGTTACTTATGGTTGCTTCATTCACTAGAATCATTGCTTGGATGTATTCTGTTAAGGAAAGGAAAAAAGCATGAAAACAATCCTTAGCAGCATCACTTTCATTTATGGTGCCAGCTACTGTGCTAAACAATTTACATACTGTATCTTATTTAATCTTCATTAACTCCTCTGAGAGGTTCTTATGATTACCATAATTAGAAACAGAAATTGAGGCTTAGAGGTTTGACTATTCCAAGAGCACCTAGGTGTTTAAGCTGGTTAAGCGTCCGACTCTTGATTTCAGTTCAGGTCATAATCTCAGGGCTGAGAGATCAAGCCGTGTGTTGGGCTCTGCGTTGGGCATGGAGCCTGCTTAAGATTCTCTCCCTCCCTCTCCCTCTACTCCTCCCTGACCCTCTCTTTCCCTCTCAAAACAAAACAACACACACACACACACACCTCAAAAACACTATTTATTCCAGGTCATTCAGCAAGGAGGTGGTAGAACTGGATTCAAAACTAGATATATTTGACTCATGAAACGAATGAGAAGGAATATTAAAATGAAAAACAATACCATTTTTTGGACAAGCAAACAAAAGATTAATGTCATATGAACATCCAAAACGTATTAAGAATGGTCCAAAAGAAAATTTGCTTGAAAATCTTATGTCCTGAAGGAAAGAAGGAGGTTTCTACATAAAAATCGAATCTTATGTTCTACAACCAACCAGGGTTGAAAACAAAGAAATAGAAAAAATGAAAACTTGGCTGACTGAACTGACTGCTTGATGTAGAATGCAAGTTCTGCTTTCAGAAGACTAGTAGGGCAAGTTCTGTTTAAAGCAGGCCAAATATAGTTATATGTACTTTTATATTTTAAAAGACATTAGGTGTCTCTGAGTGATGGGATGATGGATAATTTTTGTTACATTTTTCTATACGCACTAAATGTTGTACAATGAGCAGATATTACTTTTGAAATACCCATCACCTTTCAAAAAGGGTTACAAAGAGAAAGAAAAGATAAAATGGGTGGGCAAATAAAGTAGCCTGAGAGAAAAAGAGATAAATTCAGTAGCTGTTAGTCAAAGTAATCATCTTCACCCACTTTTACAAAGTGTCTATAGTATATGCTAAAAGCAAGTTTTTATAGAAGCAGAGCACAAACACAAAGGAAACAGAATGCATGGTAGGCTCTTAGAAAACAAAAGAAACTATTTGACTTTTAAAACGAAGAATACTGGAAATAGAACTATACTGTATTGTCAGTGGGTAATATTTAGCATTAAATATCTTGAAAGTTTTTTGTGCTTCATACCTTTATTTGTGGCAGACCCATCTTTGATCTTTTGTTTCAGTGATTGCAGCACATTTTGCACTTGTTCAAATATGAAGTCCACTTTTCCATCATCTTCTAGCTCCATCCAGAAAGTTTTTGCATCACCTAAAATAAAAATAAGTGAATAGCTTAAGAGCTCAACAGAAACAGACTGTAAGCTCCCCAAGGCACATGTTACAGAGAATCCACCTGGTTTCTAAATAACATCAAGATTTAATTGGTCTGGGCGCCTGGGTGGCTCAGTTGGTTAAGCGACTGCCTTCGGCTCAGGTCATGATCCTGGAGTCCCTGGATCGAGTCCCGCATCGGGCTCCCTGCTCGGCAGGGAGTGCTTCTCCCTCTGACCCTCCTCCCTCTCATGTTCTCTGTCTCAAATAAATAAATAAAATCTTCAAAAAAAAAAAAAAAGATTTAATTGGTCTATCATTTACCTTGAGAAAAAGATTTTGGTCATTGTTTCTTTATTAAGAACTAGAAACAAAGAATATGACCTAAGTATTTCGCTTATTTCTGCTAACATAAAAATACGTTGAAAACTTTAGTGGTACTACTTCTGGTGTCCCTGTCAGACAGAAGGAATGGCTTCATTCTAGGGCAGTGGTAGATCTATGTATAGACACATAAACATTTTAAAAGTTTCAGGGATATAACCTCCACTGAATATGGAAGTGGATGGTTTTAGTATGAAACATCTCAACAACTGCTAAAATAACTAAATGTCCAACAATATTTTTTAAAATGTCTTCTATATTTTTAAAATAATTATATGAAGCAAAATAATGTTTAAACTTTTTATAGGTAGCTATATAGATGAGCCAATATTTCAGATGTCCAGCAAGTGAACATCTTAAACAAAAATTCCAAAGATAGGTGCCCGGCTTAGTAGAGAATGCAACTCTTGATCTTGGGGTCATGAGTTTGAGCCACATGCTGGGGGTAGAGTTTACTTAAAAAAATTTCCTAGAGGAAATAATTCTTTCAAAGCTGAAAACAGAAATATGAAAAAGACAATTAAAATAAACTGGCAAAAGCAAATCTCTATACCATGTTTAAAAGTAACAAAAATACCTAAAATGTTAAATTTATTTATGTTAAAATATTAAATGTTAAAATATATAAAATGTTCAAAATTAATTAATAGGGCCTTAAACAAAAGAGGGACATAGTAATTATTGTACTTTAGAAAGATCACTTGAGAAGCCATTAAGAGGATTAATAAGCAGAGAGCCTAGTAAGTTTACAAAAAATACATTTTCCTTAATAAAAGTTAAACCCAGAACCTCTAAGTTTGGCAGTGGGGTGAAAATCTTCACAAAAGGCTTAGGCCTCCTAGTCCCATATCTCCCTGGCAAAGTCACCTTACCCAAAGGGGATCTCTGGCTAATTAGGGATTCTGCCACCACAGTAGCCTCAAAAGGGGTGTTGCTTCCCTGTTAACATTCTGGCCCAATGCCTAGAACATAAGACCAAGCCTACTTTTGACTCCCCATAGCATAGCTCAGACGAGGTTTCAAGATTTGAAATAAATGCAATGTTGACAGGACAAAAGTGATGAGGAATAATGCTTTAGAGGTGGAGGGACCATGACATGGAGAGTCTTTCATGCCATGCTAAGCAACTCCATTTTTATATGAAAGAACATGGGAGCCACTCAAAAAGTTTAAGCATTCTTATGATGTGATTAGTTTCTTGGAAAGGTCACTCAGGTGGCAGTGGAAGAGGGGGGAGTCAAGAATGATTTTTAATTTTCTGACTTGGGCAACCACATGCATAGTAATGGTATTCATTGAGATAGGAAATAAAGATAGGGAACAAGTGAGAAATTTAAGTAGGGCAAGTACACTGGGTACACAGGCTCCAGAGTAAGATCTGGTCCAATTACACGAATTTTGGAGTCAACGGCATGCAAATGCTTGAAGTCACAGAGTAGATGTGATCAGGGAGAATGTGTACAATGAGAAGAGGGTCTTCTGTACATAAAGGATGAGTGTAAGAAAAGAGAATCATGGAGACCAAGGAGCAGCAAACAGATGGAAGGAAAACCCAGGAGAATAGCATATCAGGGGTCAATGGAAAAACAGAAGTGGTGATTAACAATCTGGGCTTTAGAATTCAGATGCATTTGTATTTGAATCCCACACTGCCAGTTTAAGCTGTATGACCGTATGTATGAAATGGGAATAATAGCATCTACCTCATGGAATTGATGCACGGATAAGCATGTGGCCTTTAGCAAGAAATTACTATACATAAAGAGTAAATATATATATATATATATGTGGTGTGTATATATATAGTAAATATATATTTTTAATAAAATTACTATATATATAATTTAACAGGGAATATAGTCTTAAACAAAAGAAATCTCTAACTGTGGAATTTTAGATATTATTCAGCTAAGTGGGCAAGTATTTTTTGAAGGACCTTCCCACAATTCTTAAAATCATTAAGTTTTTCACTGACAGATAACCGAAAAAATCATTGCTTTTAGACAAAACTATTTGTGAAGGCACTTAATTTGTTGTTACCATGTTTCTTTTCATGAATATGAATCAATACTCCATACCAGGGATTTATCTTTATTTGAGGTGGATATCTAGATGGGAAGGATTTTGAAAGGTACTTAGAAATAGCTTCTGATAGCATTATAATCTGGGACCATATACAACTCTCACATGGCCTAAGAAAACAAGCAGTGATGCTGAAAAACCACAATCAGGGTTTAACTGAATTTTTGTTTCTCAGTGGTTACATTTTAAACTGTGTTTGAAATGTCAACACATGATACCAAATTATTCTGACAGGAAATACTTAAGACAACTTATTTGACAACTAAACAGGGTAAATTATTAGTTTTGGAATGGATTAATGAAGAGGACACTGGGAATATAATTTAAGAAAATAAAGCCAATCAGAAAATACTGAAACTATCTGTCTGTACAATAAATGAATGTATTTAAGCAATTCATATTTATTTGTTCTGAGTTTTTAATATTGTTCTTTATGGTATCATTATTTCATACTGCTAGGTTTAATTTTCATTTAAATGGTTCTTTTTCCTAATGTCTTCCCTCATTTTTCACTGTCTTTTTGCTACAGAAATTTTGAACCAGAGTAATATTAAGAAAAAAGGTAACCAATTTATCTGAAAAATGAGATTAACAGATCCAGTTAATAACTTTTTTGAACAAAGAGGTTAAATGAATATCACAAAGAAACAATTGAGTCATTTTCATTTCAACTGTAGACCATCTAGATGGTTATTACAATGTAAACAATTTCAGTTTCTTGCTTCTTTACTTTGTACTCTATGTATGTTCAGGGTTATAATCTGAAACAGTAAATATTTCAGTATATTTCACTAGAAAACATCAATAAGTACAGGAGTAGGTCCTTGAATTGAAAACCAAATCAGTATATAATATTGCTACTTGCCTCTAGAAATGAAGAATACCATCTTATAACTCTACTGTTTGTCCCAACTTGCTCCCTTACTTAGCTCGATATGACTACTGCAAGAACATAATCACGAAGTGGGAAGTATAGCAGCTTTGTAAAAGAAGAAAGACAAAATTATATAGTTACACTGTATGTCTCCCAATCTCCCTTGATATACACTGTCTTTGTAAAGAGGCAATACTTAAGAACCACAGCTATAGGAGTTATTTATTAGCCAACTATTTTTGGAGTATTTACCAAATACATTGATAATAAGATACACACACACACACACACACCCCTTAAAGAGCTTCAGGGCATTGGTCTAGAGAATCTCTATGATCTCTTTGAGTCTGTGATCAGCAAAGTGTGCACAGTCTACGAACCCCTGGGGTCCTCAGATCCCTTCAGACAATACGCTAGGTCAAACCATTTTAATAGTAATACTAAGACATTATTTGCTCCTTTTCTATAATGACATTGACTGATGGTATAAAAGCATTGCTGAGTAAAAGTATTTATGTCTTAACATGAATTAAGGGAGTGGCACCAAACTACCAGTTTTAAGTCTTCCAGTATACTACCAGTATATTCTTCATCATCAATTTCACTAAAGAATGTCCATGATAAAGCAATAAAATGATTACTACAGGATAATGGCTGTCTCAAGCAAAAGCACTAGTAAGATTGTTCGAGTTGTAGGCTAAACCAGCTTTTTTTTTTTCATGGAAAACTATTTTTACTTAAAAGAACTACTAATAAAAATTATAGTTTCTTAGACTTGGGTGTTTGGCACACATTTTCTTGAAAAAACAAAGTGAGCCTACTACCCCCGGAAGTTCAATATTGACAGCATTTGTTTATTGATAAAATTCACATTATCAAGTTAAAATTGGAAATTTGTAAGCCTTGTATGTGCCACAGTAAGCCTGATAGCTCCTCAGTAATTAACCACTCTTTGATGAGATTGGTAGCAATATTAATAAATGTGATTTTTAAATACTGTATGATGAAATGTGTCAACATCTGGAAAATCTGCATAATTCATTGAGCCAATATTTTCCAAGTGGCCAATGCATGATATTATAAAATCATAAAAGATCCATTCAAGGGCGCCTGGGTGGCTCAGTTGGTTAAGCGACTGCCTTCGGCTCAGGTCATGATCCCAGGGTCCTGGGATCGAGTCTCACATTGGGCTCCCTGCTCAGCAGGAAGCCTGCTTCTCCCTCTCCCACTCCCCCTGCTTGTGTTCCTGCTCTCGCTGTCTTTGTCTCTGTCAAATAAATAAATAAAATCTTTAGAAAAAAAAAAGATCCATTCAATGTGCAAGACAGACCAATGGATTTTAATGTAACAGAACGTAAAAAAACTCACAGATATGCATTCAGATTTCATGCTACAACTGACCTTGAAGGAATAACTACTTGTTGAGTTTTGTAGTTGTATCAAAAAAAAGTACACAATTGTCTAAAAGGCTATTAAAATCTTCTTTTTCCAACTTTTTGTCTATGTGAAGCTTCATTTTCTTTATACATTTCAACCAAAGCAACATTTCACACCAGATTGAATGCAGAAGCAGATATGAGACTCCCTCTTCTAGTAAACTAACTATAAAAGAGATTTGTAAAGATGTAAAACAATATTATTCTAATTTTTTTGTTTTAGAAAAGTTATTGCTCACAAAAATGTAAATTATGTTAACATGTTGGGTTTATTATTTTTTGAAGCTTCTCAGTTTCAATTTCTAATACAGTAAATATGAAGAGATATTATCCTTATAAACTGAAACTGTTAGGGATTTTAAAGTTCTAAGAGTATAAAGTAGTCCTGAGACCAAAAGAAAGTTTGAGAACTACTGCCCTACATGAACAGTCCAGAGACCACTAGATCAACAGTATGATCTATATAACTATCCATATATTACAAGTATGTTAAAGGGTAGTGAAATTTCAAAATATCATTTAAGAGGTCCAGGATCCCAGGAAAGAACACTGACCATGACAGGAACATCTAACTGTATTACAATTGTATACACAACCTCACTGAAGGGCTGGGTAGAAAGGTGCTAAGCTAAATAACTTTGGAAATAAGTAGAGTCTGCAAGACTAAAGGCAAAAGGAACTGTGTACAAGAACTGTAGCTTCCTACCTGGGAATAAATTTACATTTCTGATACAGCTACACACACACACACACACACACACACACAGGAATTGAGTGACTAAATAAATGGATAACAGATGGTGGGAGCCATGCTTCTCAATGTTGGAGAGATGTGGTAACGGATTAGAGTTGGGAACATCAGAATAAACTCATGTTTAGCTTAATATAGATACAGATGGTTACATATAGAGATATTTACAGATATGCCTATATATAGCTTAGCATACACATATATCCCTTGCTCTGTTAGCTAAAAGGGCCTATAAGCAAGGACAGCCCAGTAACAACTATCACCCAGATATGGGTTTCTGACACCATCCTCCATTAAAAGGGACCAGGGCTCATTCAAGAAATGACTGACTCTAGAACTGGGGCAGGAAATATACAAGATAAGCCTGCAGCATCTTACAGTACCAGAAAATAAGGAAGTGCTAAACAAAACAAAACAAAACAAAACAAAAACCCAGCTACATTGATACAGGTACGTCAAAGGGACACAGACCCAACTGAAAGAGGGCTCCCAACAGCTAATCCTGGGACAATTTGAGTAACAAAATAAAACAGTACTGGACAGAAAACCGGATAGGGTAAAAGAAGTACCCATGACTCCATACTGAAATAATAAATGACTGAATATATACATAAATGGGAGAAAGGAGATATATAAATGGGAGAAAGGAGATATATAAATGGGAGAAAGGAGATAAATCTCCCTTGTAGAAGAATTCCAAATAATTAATGTAGACATTCCATTCTCAAAGAGGGGGAGCATAATCCCCACTCCTTGAATATGAGCTGCATATAGTGATTTCCTATCAAAGAGCACAACAGGGAAAGGAGAAAAAAAATGTAATTGACAGTGTAGAAACCACATAACACTATGTCAGCCAGATGATCAAGTTCAATATCAATAAGAGAGAAACCACATTGATAACACATACCTTTGATATAATGTGGTAAAAATGGCACTTTACCCCTATGGTCTTCTTCCCCAAAACCCATAACCCTGGTTTAATCATGAGAAAAAAAATCAATCAATAATTCCAATAGAGGGGCCTCCTACAAAATAGTTGGGATACAAAATACTACAAAATAAAACACAAGTTAAGTCTGAGAAACTGGACATCCAAGAGGACCCTACGGAGACATGATAAATAAATATAATGTGGGATCCTGGAACAGAAAAAGACATCAGGTAAGAACTACAGAAATATGAATAAACTATGGACTTTAGTTAATAATAATGTTTCATTAACTGTAACAAATGTACCAGCCAAATATAAGATGTTAATCATAAGTAAAACTGGACGTAGAAGATATGGGAACTTGCTGTACTACCCTTTCAATTTTTCTTTAAAAAGTAAATCTAAAAGTTTTCTAAAAAATAAAGTGTATTTTTTAAAAAGTACATTAAAGAAATGATTTAGTTTTACAGACACACAATTAATTATAAAGACTGTCAAAATTGTTGGCTACATGAGAATAAATCCTAAATTCCTTCAAATGTAGAATAGTCACTTGTAGTGAAAAACCTTGAAAATTCCACAATTCAGCTTAAGTGGTCTATACACTTTTAAATATAATGTTTAACAATGGTTTCCAAACCTACCATTTTTTTCTCCCATCTTTTGGCGTCGTTCATAAACATAAAACTATTCAAAATTAACTTTATCAAAGGACTGAATCACTTTGATTGAAGAATATAACTGGAATCCAACTGGAATTCAGTGTGGTCTCTATGAAATTTGCAGTCCTCAGAGAAAATACATCATTATGCCATTCCAAACCCAATGTTCTTGGATGCTTGAATTTTCAAATAGTAACTTCAGTTGAAGAAACTTTCAAAAATAACCACTAGTCCAACCTGATGATGAGTCCATGCAACTTCATCAAGTGAATATTTATAGTTATATCAGATCATTGATAATATCTTCTTAAAAATAAAAACCAACTCCATCTTTTGGTCCATGGATGCATGAGACATTCTGTAAAAAAAAAACAATAAAGATTGGTACATATCTACAAAGAATAAAACATGTAAGAAAAAGAAGACTGTTTTTTTTTTTTTTAAAGATTTTATTTATTTATTTGAGACAGAGAGAATGAGAGAGATAGAGCACATGAGAGGGGGGAGGGTCAGAGGGAGAAGCAGGCTCCCTGCCGAGCAGGGAGCCCGATGCGGGACTCGATCCAGGGACTCCAGGATCATGACCTGAGCCGAAAGCAGTCGCTTAACCAACTGAGCCACCCAGGCGCCCAAAGAAGACTGTTCTAACAATAGCTCTTTTAAAATAGCATAGACTATTACAGAAACAAGAATACATATTAAATGGAAAAATATGTAAAATATCAAAATTAGGAAATTACAAAGAAGTTAAGAATCACCCATATTTAAAATATTGTTGTCTTTTTTTTAAAGATTTTATTTATTTATTTGACAGAGAGAGACACAGCGAGAGAGGGAACACAAGCAGGGGGAGTGAGAGAGGGAGAAGCAGGGCTCCCATGGAGCAGGGAGCCGGATGCGGGGCTCTATCCCAGGACCCCGGGGATCATGACCTGAGCCAAAGGCAGATGCCCAACGACTGAGCCACCCAGGTGCCCCTAAAATATTGTTAATTCACATAAAATATCCCCATTTTATAAATATTTTTTAAGTTTTATTTTTTATAAATACTTTATAAAAACTTTTATAATGGGGATAGTAACGCTAACTACCTCAAATGAATGAAGAAGAGGCAATAATGACCAAGAATTTCTCAAAACTGGAAAACACATAAGCCAACTAAGGGTTCATTGGGTACCAAGCAAGATAAAATACACACTACTAGACAAACTGTGAATAAACTTTAGAATATCAAAAATAAAGACAAAGTCTTAGAAGTTTCCAGAAAATCTAGATTATCTAAAAGAAACACATATCAGACTGGCAATCAGACTTCTCATCAGAAATGCCAGATGCAATAAGTTAAGGCAAAGTAAGTCTGACCCCAGAATGCCTTTCAGCCAAGCTATCTTTCAATAGTGAAGGTTAAAAAAAGAGACTTTCATAGACATTCAAAAAGCCACTAAGGAATTCTCTGAAAGAAAGTACCCAAACTTCATGAAAAAAACGAACACACACAGAAGTACTGAGGTAAGAAGCAATAATGAGCAAATGACTAAAACACATTAATGCTAAAGATAGATTAAAAATGGGTTTTAATAACAAATGAAAGAAAATGATAGAAAGAACCAGATGGTTGGAAGTCTGCCTTCGGCTCGGGTCATGATCCCAGGGTCCTGGGATCGAGCCCCACATCAGGCTCCTGGCTCAGCGGGGAGCCTGCTTCTCCCTCTCCCTCTGCCTCTCCCCCTGCTTATGCTCTCTCTCTTTCTCTGTATCTATGTCTCTGTGTCTCAAATGAATAAATAAAATCTTAAAAAAACAAACAAACAAACAGGGGAAATTATGTTCTTTTATAGAAGGGGATGGAAGGGGATTATTGCCAAGATAAGAGAAAGTAAAGCAGAAGTACCGTCAAGTTCTTCTTCATAGGGAGGGTATCAATACTAATTAAATTTAAATCTTGTTAGGAAACATATTTAAGAACTATGTTGCAAATGCAAAGGTAGTATATTTTAAAAGACATGTAGAACAAAGAAAACTTGGGGCCAACCTCAATTAAAAAGAGAAATGGAAAAATAGGATATAAAAGATACAAAGAAAAGCATGGAAAATAAGATGACAAGAAAAAGGCCAAACTTAATAATCACAAAAAAGGTGAATGTGTTAATCTAACTTATTAAAGGGCTCTCAAAATGGATTGTAAGCAAAACCTAGCTATATTTTAAAATAAGAGACCCACTTAAATCACACAAAATGTCATCAAAAGGTTGAATAACAGTATGTGAAAAAAAGACATACCAGCAAATACAAGAAATGTTCATATCAAACGAAATAGAATTTAATATGAAAACCAACAGAAGAGACAAAGAGAAATATTTTACAATAACAGAATAATTCACACAAATATCTAATTGAAATTACTGACTTAATATCAAATAGGCTCAAGAAGTAGAAATTCCAATTAGAGGCAAAACTATAAAAATAAAAAGTTTAAACAACAGTTAAAGATCTTAGGAGAGCCACATGCCCCATATCCCCACCTCACTCCTATTATACCAGGTCTATTCAGTTTTATAGATGAATTCTACAGAACTTCCAAGGAACGGATAAATTCTATCATATACGAACTGTTCCAGGTCAGGAAAAATTTGGGAGCCACTCAACTTTTTTTTTTTTTTTTTTAGATTAGTATAACCATGACATGTAAGAAAAGAAACTCAAGGCCAAAAGCACTTCTGTGCAAAAATAGTAAGTAAAATATGCCGTAGAGTAAAAGTATATTACTAAAATAAGATTTATCCTGGGAATACCCCAAAAATTTAATATTGGAAAGTTTATCAATGTAAATTCCTACATTAACATATAAATGGAAAACCAACATTTCAGATGCAGAAAAAAAACCAATTCAATAAAAGTCAGCAACTTTTCTGGAGGCTGGAAGATGAGGGACCCTTAACAAACTAGGAAGAGAACTTCTTTAACCTGATAAACTCTCTACTAAAACTTAGCAGCAAACATCATATCCAATGATGACACATTAGAAGCATTTTCATTAAAGTCAGGCACAGAGATTAGGAGACTTGCCACCACTCTTATTCGGTATTATACTGGAAGTCTTTGAGAAACGCAGTGAAATAAAAAAACACCTAAGGACTTAAAAAAAAAAAAAAAAAGCAAGATCTATCTGTAGAATAAACAAACAAAAACATTAAATAAAGTTAAAAGCCAAGCAAAGAGCTGAGAGAAAATAGAGCTTGTGAACTTTGGTTGGGGAGGGGGTGGGGCAGGCTCAAAACTCAGTGCAGAGTCGGAAGTGGGGCTCGATCTCATGATCCTGAGATCATGACCTGAGCTGAAATCAAGAGTCAGATGCTTAACTGACTGAGCCACCCAGGCACCCTGACGCTGAAAAATTTTTTTAAAAAATTATATAGGATACGCAGTATCCAGGGCACATAAAACTCTAAACCATTAAAAAAAGATGACCCAATAGAAAAATGGGTAATTTTTTGAAGAAATTATAGAAATTTACATAAATTATAAGTTAATAAACATATGAATAGATACTGCAACCTTACTAGTAATCAGAGAATGAAAATTTTTTTAAAAATGAGTATTAATTTCATCCATCAGATGGACAAAAAGAAGACAGGATCTCGTCTTAGTCTAGACTGTAGGAAAATTGAACTTATTTTGGGGATGTTTAAATTAGTAGAAGTATTTTGGAGGCAAATTTGGCAAGACCAATTAAAATTAAGAATGTTCATAACTTTGGGGCACCTGGGTGGCTCAGTCAGTTAAGCAACTGACTCTTGATTTCAGCTCGGGTCATGATCTTAGGGTTGTGAGTTCAAGCTCCTTGTCAGGCTCCCCGCTCAGCAGGAAGTCCTCTTGAGTTTCTCTCTCTCCCTCTGCCTCTCCCCCTAGTGCTATCTAAGTAAATAAATAAATCTTAAAAAAAAAAAAATAATGTTCATAACAAAACCAAGCAATCCCACTTTTAGATAGATATATAGATATAAATATATATCTATATATCCTTGAGAAATAGCACATGTGCACAAGAAAATACATACCAGGATTTCCCTGCAGCATTGTCTATAAGTTGAAAAACTGGGAACAACCAATGTCCATCAAAAAGAGAATGGCAAATAAAATGTGCTATACAGTACCTATCAAACAAAATAGAATTTAATGTAAAAACCAATAAAAGAGACAAAAATAAATATTCTACATTAACAGAACAACTCAGCCATACACTGGAACACTATCCAGCAGGTATAAAAAATGAGCCATAAATACATAATAAGCTATAAATAACAGGTATACACTTCAAAAACACTGTCAAATGAATAAAGTTAGAAAATGATATAGTATGATACTATCAACATTTTTTTTAAAATTACAAATGCATATATGAACCCATTGAGAATATGTAAGTATAAAAAAAGACTTAAAGGTTCTGCAACAAAGTCTTTAGCATGGGATTGGAGGAGCAAGGGGGAATTCAGGGACTGTGGATTGTGCTATCCGTAAGGTTCTAATTTTGTAAAAAGAGAACGTAATAGTGTACTTAATTTAAAATTTAAGTATATAATTTTCAAAAAAGGACTGTCCATTTTAAAGGCTTTTGGAGCAGACTGCCAAACTCCTTTCTAGAAAGGTTCTATCAATTCCTATTTCCACCTACAGCACACAAGCATACTAATAGCTTTTTGAAGAAAACTCTCACCAATGTTGTTCATATCTTCTGAAATTTAATAACAGTAAAACATGTTTACTGAAGAAAATTTGCAAAATACAGTAAAGCATAAAGAAGAAAAGTTAAATCACTCATAATATCATCCAGTTTAATATTCTGGAGTGAAACAGGGATTTTTAAATTTGTTCTTATTTTCCCCTTCTTTTTCATTTTGGAGAAAAGCAGTCGGTCTGTTTCGCCTCAATTTATGGTTGCTTTGTTTTTAAAAACAAGCTCTTTATGAAACTGACCATTTCTTCTCTATTTCTCATGTTTTAATTACGATGAGAGTAATGAACATTTATTGAGTATAAACCATGTGTCAGGCACACTTCTCAATACTTCACTTATTCTTACTGATCTGCGTAACAATGAGAGAAAATTAGCATGCCTGTTTTTCTGAGGAAGCTAAGGCGCGTCACACTGTAAGTGGCAGTGACAAAAAATAAGGAAGGAACCAGGCAGGATGATTTCAGAGTCCGCTTTTTGATTATTCCACTCTACCTTTTCAAAGTTACCTTTTTGCCTCATACAGAACTCACTGCAGGTTTCCACACGCTGAAGAGCTCAGTTCATTACACACTGTTCCTTATTTTAATTACTTATTGGGTTGTGGTTAATGAGAGTCAGGTGCCTTTAGGATCTAATCTCCATTCCGTGGTCTTGGACAAATGATTTTACTCATTTAGGACTCGTGTTAAGTCTTACCTGTGAAATGGGTCAGTGGTTAAACCTTCCAGTTCTGCTTCTGGATTTTACAATGCAGTCCATTTCCTGCAGCCCCTTTTACAGCCTCAGGTTCCCAGCTGCTTAGGAATCACCTCACATTAAGGTATGCACCCGGAGACAGAAAATGAAATGGGGCTTGAGAACTCAGAACGCCCGCGGTCCCTTCTACAGCCTGGGACTGCAGGTGGATAGAAGGAAAAGAGAGGTTGCAAGGGCTGGGGTCCACGCAGCCGAGGGCTCCGCCGCGTTCCCAGGTCCGGGCCGAAGGAGCTGTCAGCGGGCCACCCAAGGCCGTGCCTCGGCTCCACTAGCACCACAGACCTGAGGGCTGCGCCGGGCCCGCTCCGTTGGCAAGACTGGGTTTCCCCGCGGGTCGGGCTCCTCTCCGACTCCACGCCACCGAGACCCCACGGTCCCAGATGCCCCCAGGCCAGGAAATACTTCACCATTTACTAGACCTCACCTCAGCAACAACTGTCCCGCCTCGCTTCAGGCGGGGAGGGAGGACCGCCCAACCCCTGACGCCCAGGCCTACCTAACGCTAATCCTAAATAGGAGGAGTTGGACACCCAGAGCTCCCACTACTTGGCCGGGAGCCCATTGGTTGGACATCCACTGTGTCCACGCCTCAGAGGCTCCGCGCGCGTATCGCCGGCAGCGCGGCGGCGCCCAATCGCGCCGCTTCCCGATTGGCTATCGGAGCTCTCGGCTTGTCTCGCGCTCTCTGGCGGGGCCAATGGGGATACTCACAATCGAGAGGCCGGCATCGCAGGAGTGGTGGCGCAGCTGTTTCCTCTGGTAGGTGTTCCGCTGCCATCTTGTGTGTGGCCAGGACTGGGCTTCTTGGCGGTTGAAAGTTTAATTAGTGGCTCCAGGTGTGGAGGGGTCCTGAGAGAGCGGTGGAGGAGAAAAGGGATCTGAGGGCAGACACCTGGCGCCTTCTCACTTGCCTGAATTGGAGAGGTTTTCTTGGTCTGAATCAGGCCTGGCTAGAGAGAGTGATGAATGGGGTGGTGGGGGGATCCCAGGCTTTGGTTTGTTCGTCGTTGTGGAGGGTTTGCTGGGGGCTCTGATGCTTTAACTCTGATTCCTTTGGTTCCAGAGAGCTACCCCCATAATCTTTGTCTCGGAAGATTGACATCACCCCTCCTAATGAGGTTGTCTGATGGCCTGCCTGATTCAGAAAGGAATAAGGCTGGTCATTACTAGAAGGGGAGAGGGAGATGCCTCACCACTATCCTCAGGTTAGAAAGAGACGTCTTCATTTTGTGTCGTTTGCGAGGGAGTGACTGCTAAAGTGTTGGCTATTCTCGGTAGTTAACCCTCTAAGGCCATCCTTTGATAATTGTGGGCATCTTGTTCTGCGTTTGGACAGTTTTATTTATTAATATGCAGCCAGCATTCCTGCAGGGGTTTTAAAAAAAATCTAATAAGTGGTGGTCTTTGCAGAAACAGTGGAAGTGAAGGAAGAATTTTGGCAAATTTTGTTTCCCTGGTTACGATCTGTTAAGATTTCGGAATTTCTAGGTCTGCCTTGACTTGCTTGGTTGCTTCTTCAGGGGCAGGGGGAGGCGTTTGTAAGGGAAAGTATCTTCTGAGCTCTATTTGAGGTGGGAGAAAGAAAGGAATTATCTCCTTTTCCTTCTCAGTTTTTGTTTTGACTCGAAGTAGACTGCACGCATTCTTTCATTTGGGAGGAAAATTTATCGGATCTGAAAACCTAGACGATAAAAGGCTAATATTTTGTGATTGGCGGTTTTGACACGCATTAGACGAAAGCAAAAATACTTTTTTGAGTTTAGTTTTCAGTTAGTTATCTAATGATGACTCAACCTAGTCAAGAGTACCATGTGTTTTGTGGCAGGAATGTCAAAGAAACAGCAGTAATCGAATGATTAAAATTTAATTTTCCTTTTAAAATTTGCTTCTTAAATCATGAGTCTTATAAGGCCTAAGTTGCAAGAGTTCAAGTATCAATAATTTAGTGTTTAGTTGATGGCTAAGGTACATGTGGCTATCATAAAGTAAGAGATCAGTGGCTAGAAATAAAGAGAACATGATAGCAGCTCAGTAAATGTTCGCTGAAACTTTTGCATAGCGTTCTCGTGTGATAATGCCTGGCATATGTTCAGAAGTATAATTGTTGAATGAATAAATAATGCAGTAATTGGAAGATGTGGATACACATTTCTTTTTCGACTAACTGAAAAAATTTATTTAACCTGCTTTCTAGAAAACTTGACTTTCATTTTCTTGAACTAAATTTATTGCTTCCAATTTATACATACAAATATTATGGATAGGCTCATAATCCTTTTTTGTGAAGTCTTTTTATGAAATCGGAATACAGAGAAATTTAGGTAATGAAGGTGAGCCCTCAAGTCATTTTTTCTTGAAAGCATACAGTTTCAGTAAATGAGTACCAAACTTGTCAGTGCCTTAGATCTCTCCTGAAGAAAAAATGTATTGTTTTTCTAGTTTAACACTGCTTAAAGTCAAAATACTGTAAGTTTAGTATATTGCATAAATATGTTCTGTAATTTTAAGTAATTTTAAAATAAGCTAGGTAAGTATGAGATTTTTCTTTGAAGAATACTAGTCTCTAGATTTCATAATGTATAATCTGAAGATCCTTACAGATATTTTTAAATATTACTTTTGCATGAACAATGTTAAGTGACTTTAAGTAAAAATGATTTAACTTAGGGGCACCTGGGTGGCTCATTCGTTAAGCGTCTGCCTTTGGCTCAGGTCATGGTCCCAGGGTCCTGGGATCGAGTTCCGCATTGGGCTCCCTGCTCTGTGGGAAGCCTGCTTCTCCCTCTCCCACTCCCCCTGCTTGTGTTCCCTCTTTCGCTGTGTCTCTCTCTCTGTCAAATAAATAAATAAAATCTTTAAAAAAAAAAAAGATTTAACTTATATTCATATGTTCAGGATTGTATTTCATTGCAGTCTCATATACAAGTTTAGATTTTTTTCCCATTATCAATTGATGCATGCTGTTTAATTAGAAAAAAATTTGATAACACCTTTGAAATGAATGTGGTATTTTGTGGCTGAATGTAGATTAAAATCTACTTAACCTTCATAAAAAAAATCAATAAAAATGCTCTCCAGGGGCGCCTGGGTAACTCAGTTGGTTAAGCATCTGCCTTCAGCTCAGGTCATGATCCTGGAGTCCTGGGATGAGCCCCGCATCAGGCTCCCTGCTCTGCGGGGAGTCTGCTGCTCTCTCTCTCAAAAATGCTCTCCAGTTCCTGTATTCGATATTTTAAAGATCTAAATGATTTTATTAGTGAAGATTTTAGGGTATAAGCACTTTTTAATAAAAAGAACACATTTAAAAGTTGATAGGTTTTCCCCACCTCATTAATTGAAAAACCAAATTTGCATATAATCATTTCTTTTTTTAAAATTATTTTTGAAGTACTAGGAATACCTTGCTGTGTTTTGTAATAATTTTCATCATATAAATGTTACTTTTGGAGAACACTTTGAGATTAATTTTCAGAAATATTTCTATATTCCTCATTAATTAGTGCATTTTGCCATCACTTTTCCAGTCTTTAACAAATATGGTTTGTTATGGGGATAAATTAAACAATGTGACTAAAAATAAAAAAAGATCTAAAACTGTATGAGGATGAAAATTACCATTGTAGTTTGTGGTGTTGCATTAATCAATGAAATTGATTGCCTGAGTCATGAGGATGTCTGTTATTTACAGAAAATGCTTATGAGATTAATACGTGGAACATTCAGATTATTTCCCTTAAAGAGAAAATGTTTGAAGTATTATACATGTAGCTTTTTTTAAAAGACAGAATTGAAACACTGTAATTTTCTCTTTACTATGACTTCTCCCTTTGTAATAATCTCATTTGTTCTTGCCACTTAAACTATAATTTTTGTGCAAATAGCCCTAATTCTGTGTGAAATTCTGCTCTTTTAAGCACTTAACACTCATTTCTCACAGCTTTTTGGACAGTTAGATCTACTCAATTTGTATGCAACTCTCCATCTTTTATGTTTCCTATCTTGATTAATGGTATAGGTATCTTCTGAGTGGCTCAGATTTAAAACTTCAAATTCTTACCTTTCCCTGTTTCCTAATTGTATAATCTGTAGCTTAAACCTCCAAAATGGCTTTGCTTTTCATTTTTCTACACTCATGACGCTGCCTAATTTACGCCATCTTTTTCTTAACATTTTATATGCCACTGTATTATTGACAAAGCCCCCACTTCTCAACCTGGAATTTGTATTAGTTAAGTTACAGGTTTGGCTACCGTGACAACTTAAAAAATAATTGTGCCCCCCCCCCATCTTTTTCTAGATTTATTTATTTATTTTTAGAGAGAGAACACAAGCGGGAGGGTTAGAGGGAGAAGGAGAAAGAATCCCAGGCGGATTCCATGCTGAGCATGGAGCCAGATACAGGGTTTGATCTCAAGACCCCAAGATTACAACCCAAGCTAAAACAACAGTGGGACTCTTAACCGACTGCGCCAACCAGGTGCTCCATGCCCCAACCCAGTTTTTTAATAAAAAATTTCCAAACCAAGTAAAAATATGAGCTGATCAGGTAGCTTTGCTGCAAAAAGTTGTCAGAGGCCCCAAGCTCTTACTAACGTGTTACTGTGCCACCTCATCATGCAGCTCCATGTTGTGGACCAACATGGCTGCTTCACTTCCTGCCATTTTATGCCACATGCTTAAGTTAAAGGCTAAAATGTATCAAGGTAGGAAGCACAGAATCTTTGCAAGTGGTGGTAGGAGTAGGATTTTATTCTCTACCTTAATTTTTAAATTTTATTTATTTTTTATTATGTTATGTTAATCACCATACATCGTTAGTTTTTGATGTAGTGTTCCATGATTCATTGTTTGCATATAACACACAGTGCTCCATGCAGAACTTTGATGTAGTGTTCCATGATTCATTGTTTGCATATAACACACAGTGCTCCATGCAGAACATGCCCTCTTTAATACCCATCACCAGGCTAACCCGTCCTCCCACCACCCTCCCCTCTAGAACCCTCAGTTTTTCAGAGTCCATAGTCTCTCATGGTTCGTCTCCCCCTCCAATTTCCCCCCCTTCCTTCTTCCCCTCCTGCTATCTTCTTCTTCTAATTCTTTTTTTTTTAACATATAATGTATTATTTGCTTCAGAGGTACAGATCTGTGATTCAACAGTCTTGCACACTTCACAGTGCTCACCATAGCACATACCCTCCCTAGTGTCTATCACCCAGCCACCCCAACCCTCCCACCCCCCACCACTCCAGCAACCCTCAGTTTCCTGAGATTAAGAATTCCTCATATCAGTGTTAAAGTTCTATTATCCCAAAAAATCTTCAAGTAACAATTTCATTTCTGTGAGATTGTCATGAACTTTTGATGATTCTGTTAGGTTCCCACAGTTAGATTTGGGAGGAGTAAGGTGCATAGCTTGTGACACTGAAATACTATGATTGTGGCCTGTATCATTTGCAGACCTAGGGACTACTTTGTACTTTCCTTTTCTCTCTGTAATGGTTCTCACTGCCCACAGTTACCTTTGAAAGTCATTGATGCCTAGCTCAACTTCCTTTTTGGAGTATAGACAGGTTTAATCACAACCTCTTCTTGCCATATACTCAAATTCTTCATTTAAGCATATCTTATATTACTTTGTTTCTCTCAGGCTGTGACAAACAAAATAATTCTATGGAAGGCAAGACTCCTTCCTGAGTCACCGGCAAGTTTGCATGCAGTTGGTATTGCATGCATGTTTGCTCATTTGAAGTATATTTCATATTTCAAATAGGATAAAGAATTGGATGGGGAGGTCAGTGGTGGGCCTAGCTTGCTTTACATCTAAAGCAGTATCCGTACCTTTGGAGAGTGTATTCATCTCTTACAAATCAACAAATAAGACAAAATGCAAAGGTCATGAACTCATGATCACAAAAGAACAAGCACAAATTGTTTACATGAAAAATATTTAACTTGTAATTAAAGAAATAAACATTTAAACAAGCAATTTGTCATAATGCTTCAAGACAAAACTATGTATACTCTTTGACCCTCTTGTAAGGAAACTTGTATGGAAATGGAGATGGAGTCAAAGCTTTATGATCACAGTGTAATTTTATACTTGGGAATAATTGGAAATAAAAAAATAACCAATGGTAGAAGAATGGTTTTCATATTTATAATTTTATAAATTATTACACATCCATCATGATAGATATATTTCAGCCTATTAAAAGGAGTATTTTCAAAAGCTGTTTAGTGATATAGGCTATTTAATGACATTGGAAAAAGGTCACCATTTTGTGTTAAATGAGAAAAGTATAGAATAGTAATTGAGGAAATGAAATGAGATACCACTATGCAACCTCTTAGAATGCCCCTCCCCTCCTCCCCCCCCCCCCCAGAAAAAGAAAGGAAGGGAGGAAGAAAGAAAAAAATATCAAGTGCTGGCCAGGATGCATAGCAACAAGATTCAGATCTTGCTGGTGGGAATGCAAATACCACAGCCATGTGGAAGACAGTTTGACAGTTTTTTTATAAAATTAAACATACCTTTATTATGTGACCTAGCAATCCCACTCCTAGGTTGAAGTTTACTAGCAAGGTAAGAGAGCTCCATTAGCTTCTCTTTATTGCCGGCAATTGGCACCAGTGATTTTGTTTTATTAGTTTTAGCCATCATATGGGATATGTAATGGCATCTCATTATGATTTTAGTTTGCATATCCCCAAAGACTGTTACATGCTTTTCTCATGAAAAGTGAAATGAAACCTATAATCACTTCTCTGCAGATATTTATAGCAGTTGTATTTGTAATCACCAAAAACTGGAAACAACCTAGCTGTCTCTTAATTGGAGAATGGGTTTTTAAAAACTGCGGTACATCCATGCAATGTAAAACAAAACAAATCTCTTCCTAGTAGGGTGGCATAAATACATGGGGAAATGGACTATGTTATAACTACATACTAAGTTGTAAGGAAAAAAATAAAAATGAGCCATACAGCATTACATTATATAATGGAAACGCACCAGAAAAAATGTGACCATAAAGCAGATGAAAACAGTAATTCAACAGAGTTAAAGAAAACCACAGCATAATACTCCTCTACCTGAACAAGCATTTGCAGAAATAAGGTCTCAAATACAAATTCAGAACCCCAAAATAAATGGAAAAAAAGAGGAAGATATGAAAAGTAAATTTACTGAACTCAGGAAGTAAAATGAAAAAAAAATCTTTCAAAAGGAAGCTAACATCCAAGATACCTAAGGGAGAATAGATTTACTGAATGTAAGAGATATTGAGGAAAGACTTGCAGATAGCCAAAAGAATGGAAATTAAACAAAGAAAGGTAAAAAGAGAGAAAAAGTGAATGATACAGACAATATGTAAAAATTAGAGTTCCTAAGAAGAGAAAAACAATAGCAGAGCTAATATTTAAACTTCAATCAATGAAAACATTCTGGAAGTAACAGAAGACTCAAATCTACTTTGAAAAGGCTCATTGTGTACTATAAAAATTGTTCTAGAATGGTCCAATACAAGTCATAAAACTATTGGACATTGAAGATAATGAAAAATTCCTCTGGGCTTCCAGGTGGAGAGAAGACATTAGGAACAAATTTCTCAACAGCAACATACAAAACAAAACAACCATGGAACAACATATTTAAAGTCTATGAAATTATAAGTCAAGGATTTTAGCACTATGACTCCATCCCAGAAAAAAATTAAAACCTTGATAAATTCCAATATACTAAAAAAAAAATTTACGTGATGAAAAGTGCCATGAGCAAAGCAAAAAGGCCAATGACAAGGTAGGAAGAAATATTTGAACTTCTATCACAAAGAGCTAATCTCCTTAATGAAACTAACCTAGAAGTCAAAGCAAATGACCAGCAACCCAATAGAAAATGGGCCAAAGATATGAGAGTTCACAGAAAAAGAAATGCAGATGACAGGCATATGAAAGATGTTTAACTTAAGTCATACAAAGAGAAATACAAATTAAAGCTATATTAAAAATTACAGCTACACTCAAGCCTTTCTCACCAAAATCCAAAATTATGTAATAATGCTCTGTGCGCTATGGGGAAACAGGCATTTTGATGCATTGCTGGTAGGGATACAAAAGCACAAAGCTTGAGAGAGAATTTGGTAGTATCCAACGAAATTAGATACGCATTTACTTTTTGATCCAGGCACCTAACTTCTAGGAATCTGTTCTAAAGACACATTGACATAAAATATAAACTGGCATTTCTAAAAAGTTACTCATAGCACCAATACTTGGATTAGCAAAAGATTGGCAACAACCTAAATGCTCATTAATAGGGGACTAAGTAACTAAAGTTCATCCAACAATGGAATAATCTCCATTCCCCTTCCAAGTCACTCTTGCCCCCCAGAAATCATAAAAGAAAATGTAGGAAGTCTGCATGTACCAACAACATTGAATGATCTGCAGAATGTATTATGAAGTGGGAAAAAACCAAAAGCCCGTGGAATAATATATACAGTAATCTATAGGTAGAAGGAGGGAATGGGAAAGGTGCCAACAATGGAAGAGATATTTCTCATAATTTATTTATACAGTTTGATCTTTGAATCATGTATGTTTACATATTCAAAAGTTAAATTTAAAAAGTAGAACAAAAAGAGAAATCTAAAAAGGAATGGAAACAAATGTACATAACTATATAGCATTTTGTTGTCATAACCATACAAGAAAAGGAACAATTTCTAGTAATTCTAGAACCTAGACTTGGGACTGTATTTTCTTAGCAGGGTGTATTCAACATTATTATTGTTATATTGCTATCTTTAAAGTATTTTATGTATATTTTTGGGCAAAATAGATGTTGCAAAATGTCAATAATTGTTGAACAAACCACAGAAGTTCATCAAGGCTGTAAATTAAGAAAATGTAGTCTGGGGCGCCTGGGTGGCTCAGTTGGTTAAGCGACTGCCTTCGGCTCAGGTCATGATCCTGGAGTCCCGGGATCGAGTCCCGCATCGGGCTCCCTGCTCGGCAGGGGTCTGCTTCTCCCTCTGCCCTCTTCCCTCTCGTGCTCTCTGTCTCTCATTCTCTCTCTCTCTCAAATAAATAAATAAAATCTTTAAAAAAAAAAAAAAAAGAAAATGTAGTCTGGAAAGTTCTTTGACAGATTGAGTAAAGTGGAAGTGAAGTACAAAAATACCCAGGACAGCTACATAACAGTACCTGTTATACGGCACTGGGTCAGGCACTATGTATATATATATCTATCATTTGACTCTTGCAGATACCCACTGAGACTCTGATCTCTGATATTTTATTCTTAAGAGGTTCAGAGAGGTTAAGTAATTTGCTTCAGATTAGACAGTTACTGAGTGGGAGGTTGACCTTTAAACCCAGATCTATGTGATTCCAGAGCGTGTGCTTTTTCTACTACATTATTGCAGGATATACACCAAATATTGAGAAGAAAGAACATCAGGAGCTAAATGTTCTATTTAAACCAGTAGTTGCTGCTCAGAAAATACATAAATATGCAGACCCTAAGTCAGTGGTTTATATTTTCTTCATGCAAGAGCAATGCACTAAAGGAGAGAAGTGTAAGTTTTCTCTTATTTCTGATGGGGAAATGTAAACACACATACACATATCCTTATATTGATGTTGGAGATAAAAATTTTACAAAAGTTGCCATTGATGACTGAAATTAGTAAAAGACCCAAACTAAAAGTATTTCAAAGCAGAAAAGAAAAAAAATCTGGTAGTCATGGGTTTTAATGATGCTGTGAAAAGCAAACAAAACAAAACAAAACCAAACCCTTCAAAGCTTCCTTTTATGATACTTAAAAGCTCTTCTAAGCTTTGCACAGCCTTTTTATAAAAATTGGTCTTTAAGATACTATTTTAATAAGTTATGTTTCCTCCTGTGGAAGATGAGTGCTGATGGAGATTTTGGGGGTGCTAGGGCTCCCTTCACCCAAGCCACCCCTTCACACTACTACTGGTTTCCCCAGTGATAAAATATTTTCATTCAGTTCAACACTAAAATCTTTCCTAAAAGTTCTGATGCTTGAAGTAATGGGGGTAGAGGGATTTTCCTGTTTTAATTTGGTTTATCTATATATGATAATGATGGAAATTTAATTTATAATTCTGTGTACCTGATAACAGTAAGAAATTATATTGGATTTGCTATAAGAATTTAAAAATTAATTTTGAAGCTTTTCTTTTTGTCAGAAGCTGTGTTGATCAGTGACTTTGGTGAAGGCTAAGAAAGTTGAAACAAATTTGCTGATGATATACAACTTCTAAGGTAAGCTAATGTAACAACTCAATCAAGAATATAAATGTTCTTGACAGATTCATAGATTACAGTAACATACTAAAATAAAATTATTAGGAATAAATATAATATCCTGATTTAAATTTCACAAAGCAATGGCAGAAATATTAAATAGACTTCCATTTCCAACAGTATGATAGACAAGAGTTCTTGAATCCCTCCCTTCACCAAATATTTAAACACTAGATTCAGTATTTAAAAAACCTTTATTATGAATGGATGAACCCGTAAGAAGATAAAGGAAGCTTTTGGGGGCTTGAAACAGAACGAATACATCCTGTGGGGTAAGCAAGTGCTGAAGTCACTAAATACTTTGGGGGTATACATGGCTTTCTGTTGGCATTAGAAACTTGTGCAGGGAAAGGGATGGGGACTGGAAAATTCCTTGGGTTCTGCAAAGGGTAGGGAGCCTCATCAGAGACCATCTTGGAGAGGCAGACAGCTCTGGGTGGAGTTAAAATCTCTCTTACTGGGGTACATGGCTGGCTCGGTCAGAAGAGCATGTAACTCTTAATCTTAGGGTGGTGAGTTCAAGCCCCACGTTGGGTGTAGAGATTGCTAAAAAAATTAAGTAAACAAAAATAAAGTAAAATCTTTCCTACTAATACCTGGTTACCAGCTCACATTCACTTGGATTTGAGGCCTTAATTTATACTATTTTCCTGGTCCCTAAAGGCCTATTTTCATGGTCTCCCACAAATAGAGAATTTTAATTTAAAGTGGACCTGGATCTCTAACACTTTTCAGTACCTGGCAGAAACAATTAAAAATCCTCCGTGGAGGGAGTTAACAACCTAGTTGTCAAAGTATCATCATTAAAATTCTAACAAATAAGCTCTTACTCATTTTTTAAAAATCACAGAACATTGTTTTGTTCTGTGATTCTGTGATCAGAGAGGGTTTGTCTCCCTCTCTGATTTCCCTGATTTCTTCCCGTTCAGCGAAGGGAGGGGGGGTGGGGGTGGGGTAACCGGATAATGGGTATTAAGGAGGGCATGTGTGGTGGTGAGCACTGGGTATTATACGCAACTAATGAATCATTGAACACTACATCAGAAACTTATGATGTACTATATGCTGGCTAATTGAACATAATAAAAAAAAGGTAATGAAGATAACAAAAAAATAAAAATAAAAATAAATCACAGAACATAACAAGGGAAAAAAAATGTTATGAACGAAGAGCAGAACCATAAACAAAACAGATCTACAGACATTTCTGCTGTTAGAAATATCTAATACATAAAATAAGTACTTAATGTTTAATAAATAAAAGAGGGATTCTAAAATATAAATAAAGAGTAATAGCACTTAAAAGTAACCAGGCACATTAAAATAAGAACCAATTAGAATATCAGAAATGAAAATTATAACAGAACTTAAAGATTAAATGGTGTGTTAAACCAGCATATGGGGTGCCTGGGTGGCTCAGATGGTTGAGCGTCTGCCTTCGGCTCAGGTCATGATCCCAGGGTCCTGGGATTGAGTTCCACATCGGGCTCCTGGCTCAGCGGGGAGCCTGCTTCTCCCTCTGACCCTCTCTCCTCTCATGCTGTTTCTCACTCGCTCGCTCTCTAAAAAATAAATAAAATCTTTAAAAAAAACAAAAACAAAAACCAGCATATGAGGCACAGTTAAAAAGAGACTACACAGAAGACCATCCATAGAGAAAAAAGTTACTGAAAATAAAAGATCATGAGATGATCTAATCAAGAGTTCCAAAAAGAAAACATGGAATAAGAATGAGGCAATATTTGTACTTGCCTTAAAAATTTTGCCAGAACTGATGAAAGACACAGTTGTCAGATTTAAGAAACCCAGTGAATCTCAATCAGGGTAAATAAAAAGAAATACATCTTACTATTGTCCAGCTGTAGAATGCCAAGCATAGAGAAACCAGTAGGTCACTATCCACACTTTAATAAATACTGTTTTAAATGGTATACTTCAAGAAGGAAAATGCTCCTAAAAGGAAGGTATGAGGGACGCCTGGGTGGCTCAGTCGGTTAAGCGTCTGCCTTCAGCTCAGGTCATGATCCCAGGGTCCTGGGATTGAGTCCCGCATCGGGCTCCCTGCTCCATGGGGAGCCTGCTTCTCCCTCTGCCTCTGCCTCTGCCTCTCTCTCTCTCTCTCTCATGAATAAATAAATAAAATCTTAAAAAAAAAAAAAAGGAAGGTATGAAATAAAAGAAGAAAAGGGAATAAAGAAAACATGAGTAAATCTAAGCCAACATTGGTGGAAGGAAACAGTAATAATAATATAGTAGTTCTCCCCCCACCTTTTTTTTAAGATTTTTATTTTTATACTCTCTATACCCAGCATGGGGCTCAAACTCACAACACCAAGATCAAGAGTTGCACGCTCACTGACTGAGCCAGTCAGGCACCCCCACAGTAGTTCCCTCTTATCTGTGGTTTCACTTCCGTGGTTTCAGTTACCCGTGGTCAGCCACAGTCCAAAAGCAAATGGTCCTTCTCCTGATGCAGCATCAGAGGTCATTAGTGGCGTAATAACTACGTCACAATACCTACATCATTCACCTCACTTCATCTGATCATGTAGGCATTTTTTTATCTCACATCATTGCAAGAAGAGAAGTGAGTACGGTACAATAAGATATTTTGAGAAAGAAAGTTATCACATTCACATAACTTTTAATATATTGTTATAATTGTTCTATTTTATTATTCTTATTAATCTCTTGCTATGCCTAATTTATTAATTAAACTTTATCATAGGTAGGTATGTATGTATAGAAAAAATATAGTATGTTGACCCCTGAACAGCATGGGTTTAAACTGTGTAGGTTCACTCATGTGGATTTTGTACAGTACAGTAAGTGTATTTTCTCTAACTTATGATTTTCTTAGTAACATTTTTTTCTAGCTCATTTTATTTTAAGAATACAGTATATAACACCTATAATACATCAAATATGTGTTAATCGACTGTATGTTATCAGTAAGACTTCCAGTCAAAAATAGGCTACTCATAGTTAAGTTTTTGGCAAGTCGAAAGTTATACATGGATTTTTCAATTGCATTCTCCAAGCCTCATGTTGTTCAAGGGTGTGAACAACATATATATATAATATGAACACTACATATATGTTTACATATATTATAATATATGGTACATATATACAGGGTCCAGTACTGTCTTTGGTTTCAGGCATCCACTGGGGGTCTTGGAACATATCCCCCACAGATAACTGGACATTACTGTAATGTCTAATTTGTGGTTAACAAGCAAGGCAGAACTACAGTATTGTACTGGCCTACAGTGGCATGTAAGTCAGGAGGGTTTGGTTGGAATTTCAGTATTCTAAGGTTCATGTGCTGTGTGAACCAAAGTAAAAACTTTTCAAATGTAACCAATGAAAGAAAACAAGTAAGGGTGTTTCTTTCTTTTTTTTTTTTTTTTAAGATTTATTTTTAAGTAATCTCTACACCAATGGGGCTTGAATTTACAATCCCAAGATCAAGGGTCACATGCTATACTGACAGAACACCCCTAGAGTGTTTCTTTTTTAAACTAGAGAAGGAAAACAATGAAATGAAGGAAAAGGAAAAAAAACAACAAACAAAAGAACAGAAGACAAGAAATAAGTACTCATTTTTTGTCTTCTTTTACTCAGCTTAGTTATTTTGAGATTCATCTATGTTGTTGAGTGTATCAGTAGTTTATTCCTTTGTATTGTTGAGTAATATGTCATTTTATGGATATACCACAATTCACTTATTTATTCATTCACATATGGGTAAAAATGGACTGTTTCCAATTTTAAGCTACTGCAGATAAAGATACCATGTATATTCATGTACAAGTCTTTATATGGACATATGCTTTCTTTTTTCTTGATAAATACCTAGGAGTGGAACAGTTGCATCATATGGTAGGTGGGTATTTTACATTTTAAGAAGCTGCCAGGTTTTTCCTAAGTGGTTATCAACAGGAAGATGAATACCAGGTTATGGTATATCTATATAGTGGACTACTACTGAGCTGTACTCCTAACAAAGTAGATGAATCTCAGAACAATTACAATACATAAAAGAAGCAAGACAAAAAAGAATACACGTTATTTGATTCCACTTATTAAAAATTCTAGAAAATGTAACTAACTTATAGTGGTAGAACGCATATCAAATGTGGTGGATGCAGCAAAGGATCCTATGAAAACAAAGGGAACAGATATGACATTCTAAATATTGAACAACAGGATTTATTAATTAGGACTAAACTATGTAATAACATTAGGCGAAGATAGCCTCAGGCAGCTATCTCTATACTAACCTCCTTCCATATAGCAGAAATACACTGGCCCCCTGGTACCAGACAACTCTCCTAGAGTGTACTTGAATTGGCCTTGCCAAATTTAACCTTTTCCTCTCACCATATGTTCGAGTGGCTAACCAGTGTCTCTTCTGAATGACGCATTCATCTTTTAAAATAGATACGTTAACAGTTTCAGTTAGGCTATAACCAAGTTATGCAGGCCTGGAAGCCATTTTGTCTCTTTAGGTAATGTTATACATTTCTACTGATTTTCTGTGGTAAATGTTACAGTTAAATTTGTAGTATTCAGATTATTTATAGTATTTCCACATTATTTGAGTTAACTTACTCTCTTCTCCCCCTATCTCTTTGGACCATGAAAAAAACCTATCTTATTTCACATCAGTTAGCAGCATGAGACAGGGCATGTCTAGTTTAGTACAAATTTCTAATTCTGTAACTAAATTTAAATTAATATCATAGGGGCACCTGGGTGGCTCAGTCAGTTGTGTCTGACTCTTGATCTTAGCTCGGGTCTTGATCTCGGGGTCGTGAGTTCAAGCCCCATGTTGGCCTCCATGCTGGGTGTGGAGCCTATTTAAAAAACATTAATATCATAGATGTAAATAAACTGCGGGCCGATTAAAGAGAAAATAAGCATTACAGCCAGTAGCATATTTATCAACCTTG